ATCCAGCAATTATTTATTTACAAATTATAAGCTCTGATTATGACAAGTGTGGTATAAAAGCTTTGTTTATTAGAGAAATAATTGGTTAGCTGGAAAATCTTACATCGCAACCATGCTTTTGGATGCAGTTTGAGCCCATATAGCCTACATTTATGCGGTTTTGTTCTAGGTCACGAATTTCCACAAATTCAATAATATTTAGGCATCGAGTCCTCACCGTCTAACCCTCTAATTTCGCAGGTTTATTTTATTGTCATTCACTTTTTACTGTGGTAAACATGTGGAAGGGAGCAAACAGAACATACATACCTGTAACATAAATACATACACATACACACACAAGGGTAAAAAGTTCTAGCAAGCAGGTTTTTCTAGTTTCAAAAGGGGTGGGATGAGAGCTACTGGGTTCACTGTTTCTAAAAAAGTATGACATATGCATTCTAGGAGTATTTATGTAATAGAATAATGTATATTTATATAAAATCACAAAAGAGTTTCTGTCATCATTATATCATGGAAGCATGAGCGAGCAAGAAAAAAAAACATACACGTGGGAGAGAGAAACCGATTGAGATGTAGGGAGTTATAGATAGATGGATATAGAAAAAAAAAGTATGTGTGAGCCTCTATGGTAGAGCTCATTAAGCAGATCTGTGTCTCATTAACAGGGAGCTGTCTCGTTATGTGTGATGCAGGCGGGCGTCTCTTTTTCCCTCTCTGTAAGTAGAGCCAGTTCATAGTGTCAGCTCCAGCCTACAGAATCTGCGCATCTCTGCAGGTAACACCACTATTAAGGGCCGAGAGGGCACACATAGCCATTTTCACATGTATTTGAGCTGACAGTTTTTTAGAGCCACTGTTTCGATACATATTAGATGTGCTTAATTATGTGGAGGTGGAAGCGAGAAAGCTCACAGCTCAGAAACAGTCAAGACATGGAGGAAACACAATGACCGGCTGCACTCGGAGTCCATTTTAAGCATAGCTAGTGCTAAGATTTGCAGTTTGACAAAAGGACACATTGTGATGTTTTGAATGAAAAATGTGTTTAAATAACATTTCGCTGCATTAGCCCCAAAACAGGAAACACATCACTCTGCTATAATGACGGGCCCAAAATACAACAGCAACAGGCCTCATCTACACTGCAAACTTGATGGGGACTTCTACTGTTGTGGGCTTAATTTACACATCAACAACAGTCAACAAGACTGTAAAGTGTCCAGTTTGTCATTTTATAATACAGAAGGCAGTATTTTTTTAGTATTATATTTATATAGTCTTGTAGCATTTAATATTTTGAATTCAGCTTATTTTTTATTATTATTTTGTTATTTTTATTAGTTTTTTAATATTTCTATCCTGCTTTAATGTATTTTTATTTCAGTTTGAATAATGTTAGTATTATAACTTATGAAATTTTATTTCAGTTGGTTGCCAAAAGCAACATTTCTAAATAAGTAATTTTTTTCATTTATTTTTTATTAATCAATCTTTATATTGTATTTTATTTCAGCTTTATTTCAATTCAACACTTTTTTTTTTATTGCAGGTGTTTTACTTTAAACAAAAACATTTTCAAAGTTGCAAATAAAACTAAAATTACTGGAGTAGGTTTTACAAGAAAACACTATTTCAGTCTTTCTACTTCAAATATTCCCGTTTAATTCAATGTGTTACTTAATGTTTCTTTGTCATTATTTGTGAAATTAATTAGCAATTTCTGAGTGAAAATTGTTTCACCACCATTTTTGTGTGTGTGTGTGTGTGCGCGTGTGTGTGTGTGTGTGTACAGACGTCACAGAAAACTCAAATAAACGTCAATTAAAGAATGGTTTTTGTGCACCTCAAGGGCATCATTTTGGACAAGACCATAGTTCAGCCAAAAATTCATGTGACTCATCCGGTAATTGATGACAATGTCAAAGAATTATGGCATCTTATTCTTAATAGGCGTCTCTGGTATAATCGTTCAAAACTGCAACTAAACTTCCGATTGAAAGATCTATGAACATAGTCTTACTTTTAATGAGAAGCAAAGCGGTTGCAAATGTGATCGGCTCGACACATTTCTGGGAGGAGATGCTGTTCCAGGTACCTTAGAGGCTGAACTGGCTTAAGTGGAGTTCCTAATTACAGCATTGATTCATTAACTCTATTACAAGTTAGAATTAATCGTTTCATTAGCACTCAGGCACAAGCTATGAATCATAATATGGAAGGATCCGGGCCCACTCACTAACATCAAGAGGACTGAACTTTTAGGAAGAAAAATAAAATATTAGCCAATTTGTTAATCTTATTTTTTTTTTTTTATCCATACAGTAGTATTTCAAATAAATCTCAATCAAACAGGTGTCAGCAGGTGTGCATTTCTGACTGATGGGTTTAGGTTTAGTTTTTTTTTTTTTTGGAAAAAAAAAATTGAACTATGCATTTAAAACAATTACATTTAAAGGGATAATTCACCCAAAAATAAAAGTCCTATCATAAATTATTCAACCTGATGTCTTTCTAAATCCTGTTCCATCTTTGAAACACAAATTACTTTTTTTTTATGAAACCTGAGAGATTTCTGTCCCTCCATTCAAAGACCACTCCACCAAAACTTTGACGCTTCAAAAAGTACATAAATATGAATTATGCAGTGTAATCCAAGTCTTGTGAAGATACATGATTGCTTTGTATGATAAACAGATTACTTTTATGATGCCTTTGTGAACTTTTTGAAGCATCAAAGTTCTGGTAGAATGACCTTTTATCGATCAGATTTCATTAAAAAAATCATTTGTGTTTCGAAGATGAATGAAGTCTTATATATATTAGGAATGACATAAGGGTCAATAATCGGGAGGAGGAGCAGGAGGGGTTCTGGTGGGGGGCCGTGGTGGGCCTGAGGGTTCCCTCATAGCTGACAGAATTTTCATTTTTTCATGAACTGTCCTTCAATAATAACTTAAAGAAGCTAAAGTTCAATTAAATGTCTCGCCGTCCCCGCCACATTAAAATTTATTAATTATGTTTATTTTTTGATTCTGTACAATAATTCTTATAATGGTAATATATTATAAGCCAGAACACTTTACACAGGGAAAATTGCTGTTGCTCCACTCCACCCACGTACTCTGATGTGTTTAAGAGAAGTTTGAATTCCGTAGAATTACCCAGAATGACTTGATGTATAATATTACCCCTTCACAATGGTGTACCAACACATTCAGAGTGCTTACAAGATGCAATTTACCCGAGGAGTACCATTAACGCTCATGAATGACAGGCACTGAAGTGCAATGTGTGAAATACCTCCACATTTCCACAAGCAGACCACATGAACGCATGTATGTGTGTCAGCGTTACGTTACAGAACAATTCGAATCGACTCACCGGCGGGAGGAGGTGGTGGTGAAGAAGCCACAGGTTTTTCTACAGACGGAGGAGGCTGTGGGATAGTTTCAGCAGCGGAAGCGAAAGGAGCGACAGGTTCAGCTGGAGGGGTGGGGGTGGTTATTTCTACAGGTGGAGCAGAGATGGGTTCAGAAGTGGTTTTAGTGATAGGATGGGTAGGAATGGGGGGAGGAGGAGGTGTGAAGAGCTCAATAGCAGGAGGGGAGGCAACAGAATCAGCAAGGGGAGGAGAAGCGATGGGTTTAGAAGATGGAGGAGGGGCAATTATTTCCACAGGTGGAGATGCTGTTATAAGCTCAGCTGTGGCTGCAGGTGGAGCAATCGACTCACCTGCAGGGGCTGATACAGCACCCACTGATTCAGGAGGAGGTGGGGGGAAAATGACCGGCTCTGCTAGTGGTGGAGGAGGTGCAGTAGTGGTCACTTGCTCAGGGAGTTTGACACGCTCTGGCAAGGAAGAAGGTGGAAGGGAAGTGACAGGGTCAGGTGCAGATATTGGCACCAGGGCTGGCAGAGGATCAACCACGGGAGGAGGAGCAGGAGGGGTTCTGGTGGGGGGCCGTGGTGGGCCTGAGGGTTCCCTCATGCGGTTGATGACCTTCTCCGAGAGCTGAAGAACAGAAATGGAGAAAACAAATGATAGTCTTACGAGCATAACAAACAATATTCTCGCTTTTTCTTCTGTATGTTAGAAACAATGCAAAATAAATGATGAGCAATGTAAATTCGAAATGAACATTCTGCTTGGCAGAGACTTGAGTAAAAGTATTTGGGTATTGGGGGCTTTTTTAAGATGTCATGTCAAGTTTACCAAAGAAATATAGGCCTTATACCCAATCATTCATTCATTCATAAATAAATAAATAAATAAAGACCCATTTAGTTGCTGGATTTCAATCAGTGTGAAATAGTTTAAAAATAATGTTTTTTAAATAGTTTTTTATATATCTATTGTAATGTAATCAAATTTATTTTATTCATAATTTAATAAATTATTTTTATTTCAGCTTTAGCAAATTTTTTTTTTTTAGAACTGTAATATCTTAAATGTATTTAGTCGCACAATTATTGTTTTCATCAATCATTGCTGTCAGTCACTTCTGAGTATTTCTGTATATTTTTTACATTTTTGTATAACATATACATACATATGTATATATATATATATATATATACTGTATATATATAGACACACACACTAAATTATTTAGTAAAATAATTCTAAACTACATTCATATTCAATTATATTCATGTTTTCATGAACAATCATTGCTGTCACTTCTGAGTATTTCTGTATATTTTCTAACATTTTTGTATAACATATACATACATATGTATATATATATATAGACACACACACAAACACACTAAATTATTTAGTAAAATAATTCTAAATTATATATTTTTTTATAAAAAAAAAATGTATCTATAAAAATGTATACATATAAAGTTATGACTAAACATAAATAATTTGGTGGTGTATACATGCCATGGCATGTTATTACAGGTTATGCTTGAAATGCAATTTTATACAATAACAAGGGGTGTCCACCAAAGGGTCTTTTTGCCTGATAATGGTGACCCCTGTTGTTAGTTTTGAACTAGTTTATGTAAACCCTGAAAACCACCTATACAAAACAAAAAGTCTCTAAAAACCAAGTGTGAAGAAGTTGCAAGTTGAAAAATAAACACTCAAAACAAATCGTAAGTAAATTTAGCAATAGCATCAACTAACATAAACGGCTGTGTGAAGGGTGACACTGTTTAACCTGCTGTATAAATAGTTATGGGGGGCGTGAACACAGTGCTGTCATGCTTGGCAGTGTGATGCCTGAACTGTAACAGGTGTTTGCTAAACTAATTCCTCTTAGGTATGATGCTTATGAAATGCATAACCTTGTATTGCAGCTAAACTTGGTTTTCCAGGTCAACTGAAGTAAGTGTCCAGTCAGGGACAAAATGTTTATCCAGTTAGGCATGTTAAGACTATTAGAGGCCTTCATCACGATCCTGCGCATGCATTCAAATCACAGGTGAATTAAAGCCATGCGTCAGTATGCGTGATGTGCTTTTGACAGCTGGAGGAAAACAGACGTGTGTCACTCACCCTTATGCCCTTCACTATCGTTATGTTCTCATTCTCATCCGACTCAAAAGACACGCGGCGCGTGCTGTTGTTGGCTCCCATTCCTGGTCAAACAAGCCCGCTGGTGTTTAACAAGCTAGTTCATTTAAATTTGATCAGTAGTTATGAACTCCAAAGAGTTGACAGCTCTCGAGTTGTTACGCGCGAACACCAGGGTCGCACGCTCCCGTTCAGAAACACACAGTGCTTCCGCCTTTAGCCCCTCCCACTTGGCACAGGCGAAGGAAGACGATTCTCATTGGTTGAGCGCAAGCGTTTAGTGTCTCTATTGGACAACATAAATAGAAGAAAAATATATGTTCATTTATTAGTTTATTTATTCATATTAAAAGTACAATATACGAAATTAATGTCTATTCCAGAGCAGAATAATTTTATCGAATTTGCTGCTGTTTTTCAACAGGTCTGTGCTCTTATTAGGCTGAATCTAAGTTGTAAATGATGTACTTTATTTGTCTTCTACTTGAATATTCCCTTAATTAATATTTTGTAAGGTTTCATTCTTCAATTCTAGTAAAGAAAAATAGAAAGAAAACACTCCTCATGATTTTTGACATTTATTAAACCTCCTTAAAAGCAAGCATTATCATGTCAGCATATATATACATAGTAAATACATATATGTACATACACATACAAATCTTTACAAAAATCTTTACAAAAACATATAGAAGCAAATTCCAACATAAATTAAGCTTCAGAGGGTTTAATCAATGCATTGAAATATGCACACACACATACATTATTATTCATTAAAATTACTATATATATAGTCAAAAAGTAAATAGGTACATTCTGTCTTAGAAGCACTTAGCAGTATTATAACTGAAAAGATGTTCCTCAAGTCCTCATGTCAAATTGGAGCTGTGCGCATTTGGAGATGTGGGTCCTCTGTCCTTTAGTGGGTGGCTGTCTTTGTCTACATGCCCTCAGGTGTCATCATGACAACCTTTTATCCTGCACTAGGTGATGAGAAATAACATCAGTCCTGTGTCATCAGCAAAGGACAGTAGATTGCTTAGACATGATGGGCCTTGGAGGAAGCTGATAAGAACTTCTGGATCTGACTAGGCTCAGAGGAGCTAAAAGAAAAATAACCCCAGAGTCTCCGTGATTGTTTCCTTTTTTGAAGGGGCACAAAATTGGCCACTATGTTATCTCTGCTGTCCTCGGACACATCAGTCAAAGAGGAGGCTGCCAGATCGACCCTTTCCCACACAATCAATGCCCTTTCCTCTGTGGTTTGTTACAGCAGAGATCGTCAGGAGATGGGGAGCAGGTCCAGAGCAATATATTCTAGAAACAGAAAGCAATTAACAACCTACACTTTTCAATCTGTCTTTCTCCCTTCCTGTATGTCTAGTGTGTAAAATAATTTTTCACATTCCTTTGAGTCGGATCTTTTGATTGAACCAGTTCACAAAACTGATTTGTTCAAGATGAAATGTACATTAAGTTACTTTTAGTACATGCTGTATTACAGTTAAAAAAAAGAAACATTTTCAGTTAAAAGATGTAAATGAATTTTAGTATTGTCTAATATATAAAAATTATATATAATGAATAAATGAAAAAAAATGAATTAGCTAAATTATGGCTGCTTAAAATGAAATGGGAGAAATGAGACTGTTTGTTATTAAAAAGTGATATAGTGAATAAACAGCAAAATAAAATAAATAACAGTGTTGTTATATTTTATTGCAAAAAAGAACAAAACATCTACAAGCAAAATGACAGTTAACAGAATATTCTAAGAGGATTACATTTAACTTTTACATTAACATTTAACAAAAGAATGAACTAAAGCATATTATTACACAATTACAGAGTAGAAAAATTGAATATCCAAAGTTATTTAAAGAATGCAAATATATACCAACTTCTTTATTGAAAATAAAAAACTAGGTAAATGAAGGTATACATTTTTAAATAACATTTATGGATGTACAAACGATTGTAGCCGTTTTCAGCAAAAAAAAAAAAAGACTACATTTCCTACATTTCCCTACGATCCCACGATCAGCTGATTTTGCTGAAGGCGGCTTCCCATTGGCTGAAGTCCGTCACGAGGTGTTTGGGTGTAGTAACGGAAAGATGGCTGACACAGGCAGATACAGGAGCGCAGTCAACAAAAGCAAAGACCCTTCCGGTTTACTTATATCTGTAATAAGGTGAGCACGATAGTTTTACAATATCTGTGTCTGCCAGCGTTAAATCTTTGCACCCGGATTTTCTAAGGAAAAGGACCAGAATGGATGACCGCTTAGCATGTTTGCTAACGATACATCCTGTTATTCTTTCATATTTTGTTATTATACACGTATGAGTTGTGTTTAAGAACCTTTACGTTGCATCAGCCGAAGTTTATAGTTTTCTGTGAGGTCTTCTGAATAGCACGTAGTTTGTAGGCATACTTCAAAACGTGTTTAAATGGAAATTGCTTATGTTTTGACAGGACTGAGTTTCAAAACAGAGGGAACCTAGGGAACTGTTTACTTAAACAGCACTGTTTGAACATCATAAACGCAGTCTGATTATTTGTCTTGGTTGTCAACACTTAAACAACACAATCACAATATGCAAGTGCAATAATATGAAAGTATAACGATAGAAAATCGTATAGAGTGCAGTGGAAAATGTAGTATATCTATATATAGTATGTGATGTTAACTGTATGATAAATAATATATTGAATTGATTTTATTTTATTTTATTTCAAATTATTTTTTTGTGGCCATTGAGAAGGCAGGGAAGCTGGCATGATGACAGGATGTTCTTGTACATATAGGCTTTTGTGACCTTGTGGAAGATGTGACTATTTTGAGGCTAATTTGGTGATGGTAGATGGCAGCCAGAACCCAGTATAGTGTGGAAAAAAAACTGCCTAATTGAGGGTTATAGTTAGTTACAGCACATATACTTTACTTTTGGTAATGCCTGGGTGAGTTGTAATGAACTTTTTGCCCAAATAGTACATTCACAGCATCAAACCTTGACTTTACATAGATAAAACCTATTTTCTTCCATTGAGCACAGCTGAGCTGATAAGCTGTCAGAAATCCGTCATTCTGCTTCATGGCTCTTTTATCTCCTTTTTACCCATCAGCCGTTTCCATTATGATGTCCTATGGGCAACGAGTGAGGTCAAAAAAGAGCGAGTCTATGGGCCGAAGCTAGATCTACATGATCTGTGCTTCACTGCGAGCTTGAAGGGATTTTCCCTACTGAATACTGGCTCTCAGACGTTCTTCTATATCTTTCTGAGCTCCAGAGACTGGACTGAATGTAATGAGCTCTTTTGGGAGATTGTGCTGCCTTACTTTACTCTGATTTAAAGCCACACCGCTGCGGAAATGAGTCAGGACAGACTTTGAGAGCTGAGATGTGATGTCTGGCAGTCTGCGGTCTGGGACATTGTTGGATTGGCACCGGTCCCAGCTGGTCTCCTCGAGTGGGTGGGCTTCTGATGATGGATTGTAGTGAAATTGTGTTGTGATGGCCAAAAATCCAACTACTTATGTATTGAAAGTTTGCAAGGTAATGATGACAGGATGAGTTTAGATTGAGTGCAGCCTTGGCTCTGGAAGATTTAAGTGTACTGCAGTCAATCACGATTTTCCAGTGTCAGAAATAGCAAGAAAGCCAAAGCCAAGATGCTAGAAAAATGTCATGGGCATTCATGAAACGTTCTTTCTTTCAAAAAAAAAAAGAAAAAGTATTATTATTATTGAATTGATTATTGAATTGCATGTTGTCTTGGTTATATAATTTTTATATACAATAAAAAAAATATTGTCCTTACTCATTTGGGGTAAATAAAATATTAATATTATTATTTTTAAATAATTAATGTTTATTTATTTATTTATTTATTTATTTATTCATTCCCAAAATGAACACAAAAACCTTTTTATTTATTTAAAAATAACTAATTACCTAAATAAATAAATGAATACATAATTGGTTTAATTATTTAATAAGTTTTTCATTCATTCATTCATTCATTTATTCACATTATTTATTTACGCTGATGAACCAGGCAAAGATGTGATAATATGCTATTATACTGTATATGATATTATTAATTTTATTAGCAGTAGTATGTTTTTGTAAAACATAACGTTTAATACAGTTTGATGTAGCATATGTTTACTATCTTTCGGTCAGGACATTGTCCAGTAGTGAGGATGTGCAGGACCGAGAGACGGAGAAGGGCCGTCTGGAGGAGGCCTATGAGAAGTGTGATCATGATCTGGATGAGTTGATAGTTCAGCACTACACAGAGCTCACTACAGCCATCAGAACCTACCAGAGCATCACAGAGAGAATTACCAGCTCTCGCAACAAGATCAAACAGGTGTGCAACACATTCGTCTGCATTCAGCAACTCCCAAACAATTGTAAATATGATCAGGTTTCTAATTTGTGACCCTGGACCACAAAACCAGTCATAAGTAGCACGGGTATATTTGTAGCAATAGCCAACAATACATTGTATGGGTCAATTATATTATATTATTTTTACAGAATTAAAAAAAAATCATATGGGCCTGTATAAAATCTAAAAATGTTTTAGGCGTACACGATAAGAGACATGAGCAAAGCAGACAATTAAATCTTTATTCCCAAACAATCATAATCATGACAGGTATATCAGGTCCCCCTGTTTAATAACATTATAACATTTTATAATATATTACAATAACAACATTAAATAACATGATATAAGCTAACTTTTCTTTTTGTTATACATTTTGGAAATAGTTTTTATACTGTGATATATTTTTTACGTTGATGAAAAGTTCAAAAGACATAATTGAATTAAAAAATAGTAATTCTTGGTTACATTATAAATGTATTTTCTGTCATTTTTTTATTTAATGCTTCTTCTTCACTGACCCGCAGAGAACCTTCAGGTTCCATTGTTAAAAACCCTGATTTGAGGCAGATGCACAATGACTTAGTAGTGTATTTTAATAACATGGTCACTCACAGCAATACAGCTTCATGCTGTCAGTCTTTTTGTTTATGGCTGATTGAAATAACTTCTTCACCGCACAGGTTTTTTTTTTCTGGTCAGCAGCTGCGGAGATGAAATGCAACTGCTGCTTTTCTTTGTAGCCCACATAGTTCCGTGATAACCTACCAATACGTAAACACACACAAGCTGCATGCAGCCTGATATAATACTGGCTGTAATGCC